GATTATCAGAGTTTGTTTACTGTTCTTATTAACGTATTTTTCGTACTAGTCTACTTATGTGTGTTTGCAATTTTTTGCGCTTAAGATATTTTAATATAGGATTTATGTTGTGGAAACTCCCGTATTTCAAAGCATTTATTTTATGAAATTTTAATGCTTGAGTCTGAATGAGGTACAGGATAATGCGTGACAGCTGACGCACGGTTGAGAGACGGATATAAAATTATGCATTGGGATTTTAGTAGGCAAATTAATTTACAGATGTCTGTGGTAGTGTTAAAAGGTCGATATTAATTAAAAACAAAGGCTGTCGTTTGCTAGAATAGCTTAGAATAGGAAAAATATCGCCAATATTAAAATATTAAGACGAGAAATGAGAGCTATTTGTAAACGTGTGGCATCACTTAGTACGCGCAGACTACACAGTACATTTTAAACTCGAGCACACAATTCCTTCAATGTTAGATGTGTGTCATGTATAGTGATTTTGTTCTGTATTTTATCAAAACATTTTTATTATCACGATATTAGTACGCTTTCGATTAAATGTGATAAATGCAAAGTATAAGATAGAAGTTAAATTCGCCTAACGTACAAAATATTCTAGCATTGGATTAACTGAAAGTACCTATATATAAAACAGGCGCAGAAAATATTTTCTTAATAACATTGATGTTACCATAAAGTATGATTAGGGATTTGTCGTTTATTCGTTAGATTGTGTGTCGAAATTGTGTACCTAAAGTTCTGTAGTAGGTAAAATTTGTTTAAAGTTAAACCGTGTACGTAGCGGTATTTTCTCGGAATTTTCAAGTGAAATTTTCTGTACCTGGAGAATGTTTTGTTTCTTTGTTTTATATAAAGGTCGCCTTTTGTGTTGAACGTAACAAAAAGTATTAAAGTTATGTAACAGAGTGTATTTTGTGATAATATATTTTGTCATTACGTGTCATTCACCTATACCTTGTTATATCAATAGTTAATCAAGTATAAGATAATACAAGGGTAGCATTATCAGTATTTACTATACAAATATTGAGAGTGTAGTCCTTGAACAATTAATCCTTTAATCTTCCTACACAATGTACTATCATGCCTCCGCTTACACATGTACAAGTTTTATATATAAAGTATGTTAAGATAGGCATCAAAGTGGGTGTGTTTTATGTATATTTTCCTATATCAATGGAATATATTTTTTAAATATTAGTTATGGTGGATCTGTATACAGTAGTTAGGAAATGAAATGTTAGTGTAGATCGCGCCTGTTGGTGTGATGAGATGGACATTGTTTAGTATATTGAGCACAACTTAATGTCGTTCTGTGTTAGTGAAAGTGTCATCGTCGTCCCGACGACTTGCAAGCACATTCCCTTTGTGACTCCAATGCAATTTTATATTTTTTAAATGTAATTGTTTATTCATTTTGACTGATTTACATTTTGTATTTCAGATAGGTAGTTTTTGGAATTTTCAATCTGTGATTTATTGCGATGATTAAATGGTCAGGGGTTTGTCTGTTAATTTTTCTCTTGCCACTTTTATTTTGTGCGTTCTATCTAAATTATTTATAGGCATAGGAGAGCGCACTTAAATTAATTCTGTTTCTTTATATGTCGTTGTGCGGTACCTAAGTAACTTAATAGCTGTAGGTAAGTACATACGTGCCCCTGATCAGATTTTTATTTATTGTATGGGTCTCATTATTTGATACACTCCATTGATCACGAAGCTTGTCGCTGGCCCTAGTAGTTAAGTTAGATATAGAATGTCACAGTCTAGTTTTATACAGTTGACCAGTGCCAATTACATTCCATACATAAAGAGCATTATAAGCTAAAAGTTAAAATGGATCCTCAACATTGCTAGTCTTATATCAGTAGACCATTTGACTAGTATTTAAATGAACAGATATTATTCAATATAGAGAGATGTTAGCGTTGATTAACTGTATAAAATTGTAAGGCTGTGGTCAGCTTTCGAAACAATATTCACACGAGTGCTACGGCTGTTCACACCGACTGTAGCTTCAGCAGCGTTAATGTAATAATATATGTGTTTATTTATTAAAAATTATGGTGAACATGCAAGACTTTTATTTTGTCGACGGACAGTTATCAGACTCTTACTGACTAAAATCCACCAGTTCTTTTTCCTACTAAATTGCGGGAATGGCGGTAGCGGCACTATATTGGGCTTGTACCAGCAAGCCTTGTAGACAAATATTTTCTAATGTATTAAAGCAGATTTTCATATAATATTCTTAGTTCTGTAAGGAATTGTGTAAATCCGATATAAGTCTGATTAGACTTCACTCTTCATTCCTCACGACTAATTTTGAAAAATATTCTTATCATCGTAAGTACGTTAATTTTAGTCGCATTTGAACTCAACCTACTTGTAATGAGCCATCATGTTATTTTATCTCGATGTTGTAAACATAGGGTTGAGCGTGTCCACAGCAGCGTGAAATAGGTTATCGTTGCTAACAAGGAGGAAGGGCTTATCGAGGATCGCGGCAGATGACCTTCGCATTTCCAAAATATGTACTTAGCGCTCCTCTATTGTATCTGTGACCTTGTGTACCGCGGGCCATTGTTCATACCGTGTTCAATTTTCGCTTTAACATACAATTTCACCTTGGCTGATTAATGCTGTAATTGCGTATTTATATCTCAATGTTTGTTTGTTGTGTTTATGTAAACGAGCTAGATGACTTGTACCAATTTAATGGTCCGTTGTGTTTGATTTTTTTGGATTTCCTCCCTTCTTATTTGTATATCTACCTATAGGTACTGTTAGTTTTGATAAATTAAAATTCATCCACAGATACGTTTTCGTATGATATTGGCAACTTTGAGTAAAATAAGTACTTATTTGTTTTGTAATTAGAACATACATTTCAATGGTGAAAGTCTTAGTAGGTAAGCACTTGTAAAGCAAGTGAAGATGTATCTACTAAGTAGTTTACATAAAAGATTCGTAGATAATGTGCTAGATTTAACCAAAAAACATAATGATAACGCTACTAATAAAATGAGAAGTCATTAGTAAAAAACCCTAGGTATTCACAGAAGAACTGATGCCGACGTAACACGTAGGTAATGGAAGCGATCATAACGCGGCAGGTGCGAAGTGAACGACCGTGCGATTCGCGACACCCACCGGGTGGTAGGGCTTAGTGACGACCATACCGAACTGACAAAGGAAACTTCGATTGCTCTCCATTCCTCCCAGACTGAGGTATTTCCTGAATCCTGTTGGATTGATTGATTGACTTATTTATATTGATTATGCCGCTGGCGGTGGCGGTAGCTTTATAGGCTACTTATTCTTATCTGAGTTCTTAAGTATGATCTTAGAATTGTTAGTCAGGAAAAGAAATAAACCGAAAAAAAGTAAAAAAAAAATTGTCTGGGTAGGTATCTACTATTGATATTTTTTAGCGACTGGGTAGGTATATGATTTTTTGACTCGCGATAAGACATTATTTTTGATATAATGACAAAATGAGCAAACGGATTACCTGGTGGTAAGCTATTAGCGCCGGATCTCCAAACACCCATAGCAACAGAGGAGTTACGAGTACGTTGCCGACCTTTTGGGAAATTGGATTGGGCTTTGGAGATTTAGGGATTGGGGGAAGCGGCAGGATTGGGTCTCCGGTGATCTCACTCACACGGCGAAACACAACGCTGAGGTGGTTTGACGGCGATTTTCTGTAAGTCCGTGGTATCACGCCGGTCAAGTCGACCCATTCGTGTAGAAGCATAGCTCTCCCACTTTTAGCATGGCTCTCTCACACCTACTACGCCTCTTCCACACTTGACATATGAGAACGTTTGCTACTTACTGAAAATGTAGACCTGGGTATGACCTGGGTACCTTAATTTTATAAGCCAAAATTGGGAAAAAAATTACGTAGATTAAAATTACCTACTCGGAAATTTTTAAACACCGACTTAACTCTAGGAATTTGACACAGAATAATCATTTGTTGTACTTATTTAAACTCGGTAGGCTGTAAATGTTGATTTTTACCGTGACTAAGTTATTTCTGTTATCCTAATTTACGGTGAAATAACTAGAATCCGAAGTTTTCACTGGCAATAGGTAATTTATTTAAACAAAAGCTCAGAACAAATAGCTGTGCACGGTGGTTGATTGTCCCTTTTGTTTGGAGTTATTTGAGCGTTGAAACAGAAGGGTTTTTGTAATCACTTAGGCTGGAGGTTTAAGGGGACTATAGACCATTATTATAAGGAGTGTGAAAGTGAGCATCATCTAAGTTCTAAAAGTAAGTAGGTCTATAACTATCTACTGACAATTTTATAATGAAATGAAACAAATACCTATAAGGAGTTTACATTTAAAAAAAAAAACATTATCTTCAACAGAAGACCTACTTTTCAAACGTAATCGGCTTTTATCAAGATGTCTATAAAATTGGCACCGTTCAAGTTAAATCTTTTAAATAACAAGTAAGTAGCTGAAACTCTAATTATGTATTATAGATATGTGAAAAATATTTAAAAAGTAACGAAGAAATCTTTTCTGTTCATGTGTAGGTAGGTACCTACCTATACACCTACGGCAATTGTGTGTGTCTTCACATTTAAGTTTGTAATATTAAGGCTATTAGGAAAACTTTACTAATATTTCAATCCCATCTTTTCAATCGTAACATCACAGACTGTTCTCTTAAAAAACTTGCTTCTTTTAAATATTGTTACGTTGATAACAATAGGAAATCAAGCCACAAACTTTTAAAGCTGGCTAACCGCTTACCGCAGTACACAATATTCAAATACTTAGGTACGTAGGTAGGTACTTGAGACAGTAATTACGGCGTTTAAAAGTCGGTCTGTAATTGTGTAATTACCAACCGACAGTTTCTTTGAAAAACTATCATTGTAGGTATAATCCTAGTGGGGTATACTTACAAAGATATAGGTCCTAGTTTAATTTTTATATGGTGTGGAATGGAATTAAGATCAAGAATGGGTCGGCTCGACCGGAGCGGTACCACGACCCCACAGAAAACCGGCGTGAAACAACCATAGCGTTGTGTTTAAGGTTACCGGAGGCTCAATCATTCCCCAATCCATATATCTCCAAAAACTAAATCCCCAAAAGGTCAAAGGGCAACGCACTCGTAACTCCTCCGTTGTTGCGGGTGGCGGATGATTGTTTAAACTCAGCTAATCCGTCTGATCGTTTGCCGTTCTATCATATAAATAGAAAAATGTGTTGCAGTTCTTATACGTACCTTTTATAGCATATGCCAACAAAAAGACGTGAGGAGAAAAGAGCATTAGGTATGTGTACGTATATGAAATTGTACCCACCTATTTTTGTAAACGGAATACTAAGATGAGGGCGATAGAACAACACAGAGGATCATACCAGTGTAAGGCAATGTATTTATCATATAGAACGCCGTATCGGACAATGGTTTCCGACGCTAGCGGAGGGTTAGTCTTAAACAGTTTTTGTCGGCAGTCAAATACTTAAAAAAGTATCCTTTACCTAAAATTTATACTAATATAGTAACAGCATAATGTTACTTAATAGTATCTTTTCAGCTGGAGCTGCAAGTGCAATATTATACATTGGCTCTGGCCTGGAGCAGGAGAATGAATGGGATGGTTTTTAGTCAGTAACAGATTGATATTCCCTCTCGTCGCAACCAGGAGAGGGAGCGAAGTAATTTGGTGATTATTCCCCCTCTGAATCAAAAACATCTAAGCCAGAGCCAGGGTGACAGGTCAGGCGCAATTATTCACAGCAGGGTTTAGAACGAGGTATTTTTTTAGTCAGTAGGAGTCTGATACTTCCTTCCACTACACTAATGATTTATCCTACAAAAAAAAAACTTTAATTATCGGTAAAACGGGGTGAATAGAATTCGAGGGGTGAGTAAACACGGAAGAGGGGTGAATAGATACCAGGAAAATTCGCCAATATCTATTCACCCCTTTCGTGTATCTATTTACCCCTCAACTTCTTTTCACCCCGTTTTACGGTAAGTAAAACATAGTAAGTACATATAGCGTAATAGTTATCACATGGTACATGTTACATGAATTTCGCACTGTTATACTTACATTTGGGAGCGCACGTTATGTTACAGTTAAATGTTATGTCAGCCAAATCATGGCGTGGCAATAAAATTCAAGATTTGCACGTCAATTGCGAACGTTCGCGTAACATTTCGGTATTCTCACGGTCTACGGAAGCATAATGTGTTTTGCAGTGACAATGAGAGAAATGTATAGAATTTGTGATTCACCGTTATGCCACATGTAACTGTCTAAGGTAATTTGAATTAGTTGAGTTCACATTCACAGTGTCGAAAACACGCATGCCGCGCTAACCATTTAATCGGTTGTGAGAGTTGGGGTCCATTGTTGAACGAGAATCACATCTAACGTACGTTTTCAGCTTTTAGATTTTAAATATATTTTTAGTTCTTAAATAGAATCTGATTTGGTCTATTAGAGAAGTATGAAAATCGTTAATTCGCTAGTATTTAACATCAGTATCGATATTTTTAATATTTACACAACGACATTTCTATTCCCAAGACTGAAAGTTAAAATTAAGTTTTATACATAAGATAGTCGTAAGTTTCTCGATATTCAATAATTAATCTATTATTTTATCAAACTTTGAAGATGTCGTTAGCGTTATTTTTACAAATAGTTCAATGGAAACGCATAACTGACATAGGGGCACGAAAGTAAAAGATCCGTATGAACACTAACAATAGCGGAACGGTATGGCACCGCCGTAAATTAGGGCCATTTGACTGAAGCGATTATCGCCGAAACCAATTAAGCTATAATTTGAATACATTTGCAACTTTGCCAGTTCGTTAATAGACTGAATTTCTATAATAGTTTATTGCAAAATAATTGGTGTTAAGTTCCAAAAATATTTTTCCTTAAGTACCTACCTACATAGTTTTCGTATACCTATTTATTTCGATAAGCAAACTTTTCAAATTAACGATTCGTATTCATGTATCAACTACTATTGGGTAGCTTTATTTTGTGAGTGGAAAATCATCAAATGACTTCTCCCGTGGAGGGCGGGAGGGAGTGTCAGACTCTTACTGACTAAAAACCCCCCTTTTCCTTCTCCTGCTCTGGGCCGAGATCGCGGTGCCTCATTGCGCTTACCCCGCAACCCCGGCTGAAATTTGGGTAGCTGGACACCTAAGTTTTATTATTTACCTCGTATGTTTATTGGCTTACTTTTTGTGTAATATTTTTCTGTTATACCTATTGTTATGTTTGTTTTATGCACTTCGTAAGCATGTATGCATATGTAAGTAGGTATATAACCTTTCTTTTTTACCTTTTGCAAAGACGTAAGATATGTTTTAATAAAAAGTATATACTAATCTCTTTCTCAGTAATATTTCCTATAATATTGTTTACAAACAGAGGTACAACAAATAACAGTAATTGGGTCAAAATTGAGTGTGAAATAATTTGTGCAGTGTTTCGCACGGTGCACGGCGGTACGTGCTTTGTCATCGTCGGTCGTCGGTTACTGGGCCGCGGCGCCTGAGACAATCTTCCACGAATGCCACTCCGCTTTAGATCAAAACGTTAATAGACTGTAAATTGAATTTCGTAGCCGTAAACTTGGACACGTAGGTGTCCTCAAAATTGGCTTAAATAGTTGGTAAGTATTGGAATGAGTTGAAAGATTAACCGTTTTGATGATTAAAAGTATTAAAACGTCGCCGCCGTATTGCGCCGTGTGAGTGAGGTTACCGGAGGCCCAATTCACCTATCCCTTCCCGATCGTTATATCCGCAACGCAACCCCTATCCCCAAAAGGCCGGCAACGCACTCGTAACTCCTTTGGTGTTGTGGGTGTCCATGGGCGCCAATCCGTCAGCCGTTTGCCGACTTATAGCATAAAAAAAAAGATTAGATATCTAGATATTTAAGATAGAGATAGAGAGAATGGTCCACATCTTTTAATAACATGTTTTTTTTAATCATACCTCTTTAGTATGTGATACGATGATGAAATATATGTATATAATTATTAATGAAGCAGAGACAGCGGGCATCGATAAAACTGCTCAAACAAACTGTACAGTTCATTTGTGCAGTCTATCAAACGGCGGTAGTGCGTCCACTTTATCTACGATATGTGCGTGGAAATTTATGTGCTTGCGCTAATCTGGCTTGTGTTGTGCAAAAAGAGAAGAAAATCACGTAGTGTGCTAAGTGGGAATTGACTTACTTTGGAGTTTTTTTTGGAAGGTGGGAAACCAAATCGTTTCTTTCGCCCAGGTTTGAAGAGTGTCAGACTCATAGATACTGACTTTAAACCGCCTCGTTACTTCTCCTGCTCCACGTCGAGGCTGCCTTACCTTATTGCGTGTATTCCGCAAAGATTTTAAAACTTTGCTAAGATGTCTTGCACCAACCAAAAATTCTGTAAAAAAATTGTACAAAAACACTGCACAAATGTAGATGTTGTGCAATTCCTTTGCGCAGTTTTATCGTTGCTGTGTATACAGACTATAAGATATATCTAAACTTTTTGCCAAACTCAATCCTTCATACGTAAGTGACACGAATTAAAAATAACGCCTCATTTTATAAATTGCTTTACGAAGGTGACATTGTATTCCCGTCATTTTTGTTGTTATATGTTATTTTTATTTTATGTTACCATCAAAATCTTCAGTACTATGTGATCTTATTAATAAATTCAATATTTCTTTCGATCTAATAGGTAGGTTTAAATGCTTAGTTTATGAATCGAGCCTATTCAACAGTAAATCTCGCTTACTATACAAAATCGACGTAATTCACAAATGGTGCATGTAAGTTGATTGTTATTTCTATTTTAATGTATATTTATTATTTTTAAGATTAAGATACGAAGGTTAAGATGTAGTATTCGGCAACACTGAGGGTGGAATGTCTATTTAGTATCCTAGTGCCACTTCTAAAATAAGGAAATGTAGGTACCGCTTCTGAGAAAATTTATTTTACAAACCTATCCAACCTCAAAAATCTCAAATGTGTGGTACCTAGAAAGCTTAAGAATTGGTTATATCATCCTTTTACTTTTATCTTGTGTGTTTGTTTATATTCACGGGACCACAGAGCCCTAGTTCTTTGCAAGGCGTATAAGGGGCCGAAGCCAAGGAGGCCTCGCAGAGGCCCTTTCAACATCTATACTAATATTATAAAGCTGTAGAGTTTGTTTATCGGAGAAAGCTATAATAGGCTCTAAAACATCGGGTAACATAGGCAACAAGCAGCAGGTGAAACCGCACGACAGGAGTATCGTGCTACTATATGTGACAGCATATTATATTGTCATACATAGCAAATAAATAACTGATACAGGTGGAGGTCAGTTTTTATGTGAGTGATGGTATGTGTGATCACAACAGTAAGCCCTTATCCCCGGCACAAAATTAATGGTAAATTAGTAGACTTTAAGTTAAAAAAGTATTATTTCCCGGATAGATAAAAAGATATTTGCACAATTTTAGAGAGCTGTGATGACAGAGAAAACTTGCGACCACGCACGTATTCTCGTGCCGGACCCCAAGACTCGCACGTGGTCGGGGCCGCCGGTAGGGAGTGAGGACGTCAATGAAGTATGGAGGCGGAAGTGTGGTTGTATACGGACAAGTGATAAGCTCAAGACTATCATAAGCACATTCCCAAGTTCATCGCCGCCAACTCCTATGCTCAAACATTCGGTAATATTTTCAAGTAGTTCTTACATTTTTGGGTATTAAAAAGGCTTAATGGAGTGCCATTAAATCAGTGACAAAAAAACACCTCGCAAAGTTTCAATCCCTATTCCGGGGCCATAGCAACTTATGGCGGCCCGATAAGTAAATACAGCCAGAGTTTTATTAATAACTTAGCATTAAACTTATATTAAACAAGGAAGGAATAGTTTTAATATGTTTTATTTTTTTTAGTACGACAAATCATGCGTATACGGCGGCGGACACGAAAAACCACATAAGCACTCGGTAGAAAATTGTTGTTGGAGAGATAAAAAGGTAAATGTATCTTTACAGATTATTTCTGATACAGTTGAATAGTATTTTTTTCAATCTCAATGTGTGTGTGTGTGTGTGTGTGTAGATAAAGAAGTGTCATTATGCTTAATTAGTAGTTCCGATATAATCGTCATAAGTATTGTAGTTTGGCGCTGGCGTCGGTTTAGGCGTCGCGCGTCGTGAGCGAGGTGGTTGGTTCGTGCGCCGTTTATCGAGCATCGCTCCTGCTCGATGCATCGCCTGTCGTTATTCAGGAATGTCTTGCTCTTGTCTTGTTACGTTACAACACGGACACGCTGCGACCTGCCCTTTGACTAGCCGCGAGGAACCAGGAACTGTATAAATTAGATAAAGGATCCTCCTTCCCGTCTTGGACATTTGGGTGTTTAATGGCTTCTTTCAGTTCGTTTACTTTTTGGCTGCCTAATAAAGAGAAATAAAGATTGTTTAAAATATCGTCCAAACAGTATTCTTGTTATATAGTAGATTAACGGCACTTGTTTACATTTTAAAGACAGGTCTTCTCTCTGATGTAATAATAATTAGCCCCTCTTAACTTCGCCAGATTCTTTTTTCACCTTATCATAATACGATCATTGTTGTGATAACAATATACGTAAAAGTGGCGATTCAGTCGGGCGGCGGTGGGCGTAGGAGTGTTGGTACGCGGTAATGGATGCTCGTGCGCAGAGATAGGATCGAGACTAGGATCGTGACGCGGCGCGCCCTGCGACACTGCCGCTTCCCACTACAAGGTGAAATGGTCATTTTTAATGTTTACATAATAATATTTTTACCAAGTTAATATTTATTTCCAAATATAGCAGATTAAAAGACCTCATGCTGTTTTAAGTGCTAAGTATTTTATCTACATCATTTAATGTAGTCTAAAGAACTGAAACGAAATGCGAAATAGTACCACTATTTAAAAAAAAAATAAGTAATTTATAATTTAGGTATAGAATGTTTTAATAATGACATATATTAAACCAAATTTTCTGACTGCAAGACCATTTGTTTTGTATTCAGATAAACATTTTAGTCACTTTTAGCGATGATATCGACAGGCATTCGTTTTTAAATTACTTAGAAACTTTCGTAGGTATTCCAAAAATGTTTCTATCTTTGTACTTAGCGCAATCAATAATAATAAACACAAATTAAATCACATCATCAGCTTTTAGTGCCCACTGTCAAACAAAGGCATGTTCTCACACGTGGAAGGTTTGAGAATTAACGCTTAGGTACTCGAGGCGGATTGCTTAGACACGATTTATTTACGATATTTCCTCCTCTGTTTGTCAGTGGTGTCTAAATAAGCAAAGAAAGTACATAAAACTTAGGAAAGTTTCGAACCAGCTTTCTTATGCATGCGAAGCGGGAGCCTTGACCTCCAGGCCACCAAAACCATGTATGTATGTAACACAAATAAAGAATTTAAAATAAAATTTAGGAAAAGTAAACAACATAAATGTACAAGTTAATTATAAATTATAATATAAAACAATATATAATATCGATGAACACTTACCGGATAACGCGGCGGATGGGCCGAAGGTTTCCGACACTGAATTAGTACCTACTCGTATTAAATTAATTCTTATCTTTTCCATTAAAGTCTGTGTTAATTCGGGGACACCACATTTTATTACACATTGTGTTGTAATACTTGTAATTATACGTTTATTCGTAGTGTTGTATATAGCTTGGTAAGTCTTCCTTCCGGGATTAGTTGAGCCCTTTTGTTTAACGTGCCTTCATTGCACTTTAATTTGTTGTTCGCAAAAGTTAGATTGCAGTGGATACAGAGAAATATACTTACTAATTATGTCTCGTGATTTTAGCTATGTTGTTCTATTTTTTATATAGGTTTATCTACCTCTGACCATTCTTGAATTACAAGTTAGGAGTAGGACACAACTTCAGTTTTTGTTAATGGTAGAAGTGCATTGAAAATAAACTGCGTATAAACAAAAAATAAAAATCTTTACATCGTTTATTTATGAGGGAAAAGGAAGTAAGCGCTTATTAAAAGTGTTTTATTTATTTTTCGTACTGAATGAAACCTTGTTTGATGAACCCAATTGAGGTTGCAGCCGCGTAATGTTTGTTTAAAGTGTAATTAAAACTTGATAGTGATCTCTCTAGGTTAAGACCAAGTACAGTAAAGTGTTCGTCTGTCGACCGGCTAAACTGGGCTGGTACGGCCATTCGTTTACTTGAGAGATCGAGCTAGTTGCTTATTTAGCATCTTAAAACACCTACTTTAATATAAAATGCAATCACTTAAACTCTAAATTTTAAGCTATCGAATGGATCTAATCGGTTTATCTAGGAACGGCGAAATGTATTGTTATTTTAACAGCTACGGGAATTTTCTGTTATTTTTTGTCTTCTACTCTACGAAGGGGGAATACCTGACCTTTCTTGACTAAAAATCGCCCCGTTCTTGCTTTTGTCGGGTTCATTATTCGGACATTATTGGGCTTGCACTCGCAAGCGCAACCTCGACTGGCCATCGCTCCTAATAAGCCCTATCTATGCACATGAAATTTAGGCTCTGTTGGTTCTCATTAGCAGAAATTATGCTTCACCAACGTCAGCTCCTAAAAATACTCATAATTGTTAAACATTTTTAGCTAGCTTGAAGTATATTAGTACCTATACATATATATTTTTACATAACCGAACGTAGCGTTTCACGCGCGCCTCAGTGGTCCAATATACCACCACAGACGGGGTCCAACAGGTCCGATGTTCAGCTGGGGTTGCGACACAAGCATAGTAAGGCGCCGCGGCGGCGGCTCGACCTCGAGCAGGAGAAGGAACGGGGGTTTTAAGTCAGCAAGAGACCGACTTCACCCTGTGCGAAATAAGTCGTTTGGTGATTTTCTTTAGTGTTTCGCTGACTGTTAGGGTTCCGAAGGGGAAATCAATAACTAAGACTCTGCTCTGCTGTCCATCCCTCTGTCTATGACACCAAGCTACTGTGGCAGCTAGACACTTGACATTGGAACTGATTATATTATTTTTCTGTTGCCGCTAAACGAAACAATATATAAAAAATGGGCCTCATATACAACAAACGTGATTAAATTACATTGTATGCGAGTTTCACTCGTTACAAACTAATTTTTGGTTATTTTATCTTACTTATATTATAAATGCGAAAGTTACGATGTTAGCATGTTTGTTACTTAATCACGCCAAAACCGCTGGACGGATCTGGATGAAATTTGAAACTATGGAATAGGATACTTTTTATCAACACACCATGCGGTGCAGAAGTTGCGGGCGGAAGCTAGTGTTAAATAATAAAAACAATAATAATTTTACCACATTTATGATGGAATTGTTTTTTGGAGTTCACAATGGGCTGTTTGGTTAAGAATATAAGGAATACGATATTTCCAGAGGGGAAGCAAGTCGTGGCAGGTGATTGGAGACGTGGTGCAGCTGGTGCAACTGTCGGTGACTGCCACAGCCCTAGCTTTGTACTACCTGATCTACTGCTATATGCAGCTGGTATACTACACGCTGAGAAGCGCTCTTTACTTCCACAATGCTGACGGGTAAGATTTGTTATTTTTATATATGATTTTGTACTCTAATAGTAATTGGCAATAAGATTTAAAATCTATTAAACTGATTGTTTGAGCTAAATTGATGAAACAATGAAACAATGAATTTATTTTTGCAAATAGGCCATAAAACGGCACTTTTACACGTCAATTTATATGTGAAAAACTAGATGAAGCCGGCATTTCCTATCTGACTACTCTGAGAAGAAATGCCGAAACAAACTCAGAGGTCAGTCTCTTTTCAAGTCCAGACAATGTAAAAATAACATAATGTGAGAGAATCGTGCAAGTTCATTCTGTAGTGGTCTTTTGAGGAAAGAACCACACCAGTTTAAGTGGACCCGTTCTGAAGACAGGCACGCAAGTGTCAGTTTGCAACCAGTATAGCTAGTGCTGCTGAGTTGTCCGACGAACAATACCGATCTAAAGAACATTTGGGTGGGTCGCGCAAGTACTCAAACTGTCAGAACGCAGATAACTGGTAATCAAAAAGCACGGCAAGTCTCACACGGTCCTTACACTAACAATAATATAAAATAATAAAAATGTCAATAAATAAATAAAAAAAATGTCAAATAAAAAATAAAATGTCACAATAGGTGATTATGTCATTGTATAAAAAATAAACGTAATGTCAAATTGTATATAAAAGTGTAACTTATGTTACAAACATGTCAACATGACCTGTGCAGACACTATCCTCTAAGTAGTCTTTTATTTTATAAAATGCTTTACAGCAAAGTTTAGCCTTTATTACACTTTTAAATTTATTGAGGCTCACATTTTGAATATCGCTAGGAATTTTATTGTAAAATCGTATACATTGACATCTAAACGAACTAGTTATTTTCTGAAGCCTGGAGGCAGGGACAACATATTTGTTTTTCCCCCTCGTGTTAATATTATGTATATCACTATGCTTCTTAAATAAGCTTTTGTTTTTATGAGCGTGAATTACATTTTCATAAATATATTGTGAGGCAACCGTCATTATCTTAGTTTCCTTAAATAATTCTCTGAGCGAATGCCTCGGACTAAGATTATAGATTGATCGAATAGCCCTTTTCTGCAGAACAAAAATAGACTGAATGTCAGCAGCATTCCCCCACAACAAAATACCGTATGACATGATGCTGTGGAAATAACTAAAATAAACTAACCGCGCTGTATCTACATCTGTTAAATTTCTAATTTTTTTAACGGCATATGCTGCAGAACTGAGCTTCTTCGACAAGCCATCTATATGAGGGCCCCACTGGAGCTTAGCGTCCAGGGTTATACCTAAAAAGACAGTTGTATCTATAGGACTCAACTCCTCGCCCTTGACAAGCACACTGGTTTTTACCTGTTTAACATTTGGTGTTGTGAATTTAATACATTTAGTTTTAGTTTCGTTTAGTAATAAGTTATTAACACCAAACCAGTGAACTATTTCTGAGAGAGCACTGTTTACATTGTCAATAACTAATTGTCGTCGTCTGAGTTTGAATAATAGTGAGGTATCATCAGCAAACAGCACTATCTCGTGTTTATCCCTTACAAGGTAAGGCAAGTCATTAATATAGATAAGAAATAAAAACGGGCCGAGAATAGAACCCTGCGGAACACCCATCTTCACAACAGACCCGGCAGAAACCACTCCGTTTACTTCAACTCTCTGAACCCTATTACTCAGGTATGAGGTAAGAAGGTCCAGAGATGCACCTCTTATTCCGTAATGGGATAGCTTCCTGATCAGTGTATCATGAAGCACACAATCGAACGCCTTGGATAAATCACAAAATATTCCCAAAGCGTCGCTTGAGTCCTCCCACGCGTCGTAAATGTGATTAAGAAGTTCAACACCGGCATCAGTTGTTGAACGACCCCTTGTAAATCCGAACTGTTTCGCATGTAATAATTTATTTCTATTAAAAAATCTTTGCATTTGATCTAAAATAATTTTTTCAAAAATTTTACTGAACGTAGGTAGCACTGAAATAGGTCTAAAGTTAGTGGGGTCAGAAGTACTACCTGATTTAAATAATGGAATTATTTTACTACATTTCATAAGATCAGGAAACACACCACAGTCAATACAGTTATTAAAGATTTGAGCTAATACAGGTGCTACAATAGTTATTACAGAGCTTGTAATATACACAGAATTACCCCATAGATCTGCAGTCTTTTTGTTATTCAAAGTATTAAAGATTTTAACAATTTCCTTGTTATCTATGTGCTCGAAGGAAAACCCTGAATCGCAAGCTACAACATGTTTTTTGAGTAAAGACTCTGCAACAGTGGGAGATGAATTAGTGACTTAGTAGTGGATACAGGAATGTCGGAAAAGAAATTTTCAAAAGCAGTTGCAATTTCTACATCCGCTTTTATTAACTTATTATCAATTACAAGACTATGTTGATTTATTCTCTTTTTAGACCTTCCTGCCTCACTGTTGATAATATTCCAAGTGTCTTTGATAACATTGGTACTGTTCTTTATCTTAGAGCTTAAGAATAATGATTTAGCAATAGAGCAAACCTTTTTGAATAATTTAGAATAGTTTTTTACATATTCACTGAATTCAACAGTGTTAATATATGTCCGCTCATTATAAAGCTCATAGAGGCGCTTTCTACTCTTATAGATACCAGTGGTTGCCCAATCACCGAAAGACGCATTGCTATTAGCTGGTATAGTTTTATCTGAAAAAGTAGACTTAAACTCTGTTAGGTACATTTTAAAAAACTTATCATATAAAGTGCTAGAATTCTTATAATTCAACAACAAAGGCAATTTGTTGCTGAGTTTAGCTTTGAAAAATTCAATGCGTCTTTTAGTCTTCGGATTAACTGTGATAAATTGTTTTGATACTATATTTATTTCTTTTGTTAAAGAAATTAACTGACCACAGTGATCGGAATCAAGTACTGAAATTATTTCTTTGTTAACTGGCACAATGTCAGTATAAATATTGTCCAGGCAAGTGGCACTAGTGGGTGTTATCCTAGTTGGCTCCAGAAACAAATTCGCAAGGTTGTATGAAGAAAACAAACTTACAATTTTTGTGCTTAAACTACATTTTTCTAATAAATTTATATTAAAATCACCACATGTAATGATGGATTTCTTTGAATTTGTAAGTTTACTTAGAACTTCATCCATTACTGTTTCAAAACAGTCATACAAACCAGAAGGTGGTCTATACACGCTTAATACAATAAACCGCTCCAATTCCACACAGGCTATTTCAACAGTACGCTCAACAGAGTAACTAACTATATCTTTACGATATTTGAATTTGAGCTGGTTACTTATCAGTATAAGTGACCCACCATGTATAGCGTTTTCTCTGCTGAACGAGCTACCAATCTGGTGCTTACCAAAATTGAACATGAGTTGATGGGGTTTTAGCCAATGTTCAGTAATACACAAAATATCCACATTATTACAATTTAAAAATAACTCTATTTCCAATTCTTTACTCATAAAGCCTTGAATGTTTTGGTGAACCAGATTAATAACCTTATTACTGTTTAATTTGCAAGAGTTTGTCTCTATTATCTTATTTAATAATTTAAATTATTATGAATGTCAGTATTAGGTGACTCATTATGAATGTCAATATTTTTTGGTTGCTCAATAGGAGTAACCTGTTTAGCCAAGTTATTGGCTGATATATTAAAAAAATATGATAGCGACATTGCTATTTGTCTTAAATAATATTTTGAAAGATAGTACCTATCTTTTGTCCTATATATATTAAGACCAACATGATGGGGTACAGTCTGTATACATTGGTTATTATTTTTGTGATATTAAAAAATTGGGTAACTTTTCTTCATCATAGTTGCCACTATTTCTATTTTTCGTTATTGTAATCAACGACTTCATTAATTTTACCCATTCAGTTGTCCTTCTAGAATTAAAATATTAATAGATTTTCTGAGTACTGTTTAATATTCAGGAGACATATTTAATATTTAAGAAGTTCGTATACCCATTACAATGAGGTTCAGTGGAATAATATTTCGCCAGGAACATTAACACAGCAATTATACCTAAGTATTAGTTGTAAGAATAATAATATATGCAATTCGCCTTACTGTCGTAGTAGTAATCATTTTACTCGGTAACCTGGAACCTCGCCAGAACGGTAATTTCAATCTTCAACAAACCGTATGCTTTTCTTCTACTGATACTAGTAATTCTAACAAAATATATTAAAGGATTCCCAGCCTTGTATAAAAAAAATGCTCTTAATAGGATCAAAGTATGATCTTAAACGTTTCAGATAATCCTTGGATCTCCCCAAAATTCAATAAAGCTTAGACTTATCTTTCTAGAAGACTATAAAAATGTGTGATTTTATATTGACGTCTGTTTTAATTTATTTGTTCGGTACACTTTTATCACAATTTTGATGTTTCAAAGCGTTCCGTCTATACTACTACTATATGTACATTAATTTCCGTCGATTAATATTTTTCATATTTTTCTCTTTCAGGCCAATGAAAATTACAATTGGAGTAGTAACAATAACGTCATTAATAATCGGATTCAACTTGATCGTGCGGATGGAGAGGATACTCGGAATACTATATTAAATTATTGTGTATAGCAACTATTTCAACATATTGTACAAACTACATTTATTTAAAATTAAAAGTAACAAAACAAAAAAGTGAGTTAGTTATAAAATATAACGAATAAACTAAATTAATTTACTAACCAACTGAAATTGAAAGATTTTGTTTCTTTTACCAAAATATTTTTTTCTAATTAAGTATTGTAATTAATTTATTAAAAGACGTTATTCTGTAAAATAAATATGTAGTATTAATAAACCTGTTGCATTAAAGTAGAACTTTTGATGTAATGATTGCCTGCAGGCTAATTGCCTTTGAACTCTGTCATTAGTCGGGTTGGATTGAGCGTGACTGAGTTCGCACCTGGACGTTGTTTCCTCAAATAGTTTTGGAAGTGATTAAGGCCCCCTCGCGCTTTTG